CACTGGGTCAGAGTACTCACATTACTCCCTGCACCATGTGTGCAGATACAGGTAGAGTTGAGTTCGCTCCTGAGTACTGATTCTTTCCAGGCCAGGAGGTGACTAGGAGTAACGAGGTAGTTGTTGACGTCCGCAGCCCCGTTTTCTCCCTTATCTTTGTTATTTATGATAATTCCAGACTTTGTAAAATATTAGTAAACTCTGTAGTAGCTCATGACTTGTGACACCCCGATTTCGGGCTGAGTTGGGAGGGTTTTCCTTGTTCTACCACGTTTATTTCNTCTTTGTTATTTATGATAATTCCAGACTTTGTAAAATATTAGTAAACTCTGTAGTAGCTCATGACTTGTGACACCCCGATTTCGGGCTGAGTTGGGATGATTTTCCTTGTTCTATCACCTTTATTTTGCATTTAAGATTATATTGCCCATGATTTAGACTTATTCCTACTAAGTAATTATAAAGAGATGTACTGTTTTGTTGATTGGCTGGCCTTGTCCTCACGAGAGGTGCCATCACGACCGGGTTGGGATTTTGGGTCGTGACACTGAGCGCGAACGGGAAGGCCTGAGCGCAAACGCGAAGGTTAGTGGCAATACAGTCCGCTTCTCGCGAATGCGTAGGGATATTTTCCACCCAGTCCCATTCCTTCATCGTGAACGCGGTTACTTCTTCGCGTTCGCGAAAAAGGAAACCAGAACATAAAATTCTAGTGTTTTTCAACTTAGCTCCGGGTGGTCCGAAACACACCCGAGCCTCTCGGACCCCATCCAACTGCACCTACAAGTCCATAATATTATACGGACCTGTTAGAACTCTCGAAACATGTAAACCAACAACAAAACTAAGAATCGCACCCCAAAACCAAATTGAATCAAATTATGAACATCAAGTTTCCAATTTGCTCCGAACATGCCGAATCATACTTAGATTATTTGGAATGACACCAAATTTTGCGTACAAGTCTTAAATCACCATAAAGAACTATTACCAAGCTCAAAATCCTAATTGGACCTCGATAACACCAAGTACTACTTCAAAACAAATATAAAGAACTTTAAAACCTTCAATGTGTCAACTTCAATATTAAGCATCGAAACGCTCTCGGGTCATCCAAAACCTGATCCGAACATACGTTCAAGTATAAAATCATCATACAAACCTATTGGAACCGCCAAATCTCAGTTCCGAGGCCATTTACCAAAAATATTGACTCAAGTCAAACTTATCCCTTTTTAGCAAATATTAAGGAACTAAGTATTCCAATTTCAAATCGAACTCTACTGAACCCGAGCTAACAATTTCCGCAAGTCTTAAAACAGTAAAAGCACATACGGGGAGTCTAATTTAGGGGAAAAAGGACCTAGAAAGTAAAAAGACTGGTTGGGTCGTTACAGTTTACCCCTAAATCGGATAAGAATTAAATTTGTACGCATTTTTAAGGATACGTGATTTGATTCAACTTAAATAATCAAGAATATTAAATAAATGAGTTAAAGACGAAATAAATGATCAAACCAGTTGTAATGTTATGGCCTTGCCCAAATTTAGATTGAACAGTGACCTCGTCCTCGATTGGACCCTTGATTTGAGCCCAATTGTGAATGAAAAACAGAACAATTTAATAAGAACTTTTGCACTAGCTAAAAAACAGAAAAATAAACTTGTCTATTTCTTTGATTTGCGTGTTACAAATGAAAAACTTTCCCTTTATGTAGTAGGAGAGTTTCATCCCTAGTATAAGTCTAAAAAAGGTAAAAATCTTTATTTCTCGTTAATTACTGATCCATGATCGACGCCAAGTGAGATTCTCATTTTGATATTTGGTTGTGTACAAATATCGTGTCCCTCTATCCGTCGTATGTAACCATTTAACGTGTTTCCCAAGGTTTAAAACTCATTCTTGGCCCGAGATGCTTTATCATACCCGATGACGAATAGATTGTTTATTCTTCCTGGGTATCGATACGAGGGGTCCCTAACCTCGATTACAATCTCGTGCATCCGTGCCCTTCTTCCGTTTTCTCACCTGGGAATCAGGATAGACATTACCCTCGAATTTACTCGTACACACCTATATTTTCCAAAGTTTGAAGATAAAAAAAATTCAATTTATATAATTTAATGATATCTTTTACTACCGCACGAATCACAGATAAATTAACTAGTTTTAATATATAGTAGGAATAGTATTTTAAGAAAAAGTATAGAAAACAAAGACAACTAAAAGTTAATACTCCTTCCGTTTCAATTTGTTTGAACCTTTTCGGAGTACGAGGATCAAATTGACTAATTTTCGATGTGAACTCTGACATAGATTCTTTAAGTATTTTGAAGTAAAATGTACATATTTAAAAGCTACATAAAAAGTATTATAAATCACATCAGTTGGCAATTTAAAATATTTAAAAACTATTTGCAAAAAATATAATCAAATAAAACTTTATTTAACTTCCTTAATAGTAATTAGTTCATTCTCTTTGAAATAGAGGGAGTATAAAATTACGGAAGATGCATTATAATGAGTACAGACTTCAAGAAAAAAGAGTATGTAACAACAATAACATGTCTATGGATACAGATATGTGTCTGTTCGTGGAGTCAGTTAATTTGTACTTTTACCAAAACCTTACCAATAATAGTCAATATCACTAAAAGATCATGACCTTTTATTTGCTTCATTATATAAATATATATAAACAGAAGCATGAGAAGAATGCCAGTTTAATGGGAATTTTTTAGAAGGCTAACCTGAGATTGACCTCTGAGGTTATTTGCTCTAATATGCGTCATGATCTAGATCTTCGGGATTGGCTTGGGAGGTAAATTAAAGTTTCATGTCTAACACTTTATTAGGTAGTGTATTCGTTCAGCATATATCTTATCCCTTGATCAATTTAATTACTTGTCAACTCATGACCAGAAACTTTTTTGTTTTGTTTCAAAGTGAAAGCTTTTGTTTGATTAATCAATTACTAATGTATGAATGTTACATGATGCAGATACTAGTTAATAATCTTTGAACACAAAAGAATCAATGGTCATTTTTTCTTTACTAGACCTAAGGTATATACATGCACCATGCATCTTTGAATATTATCAAAAAAGAGAAAAGTATATTTCAAAATCAACCTAGAATGCAACCAAAACACACCAAAAAGAAACCAAGAATCGTAGTGAATGTGATAGATATATGGAAAATAGTAATTGGAACCTTGTTTATCCTCATGATATTTATGCAGTAGAATTCCCCATAACCCCTAACTTCTTACTGGAAAGAAAGCAAAGAGAAAAGAAAGCAAAGAAGTCAAGTACACCAATGGGAATGATAATTCAAGAAGCCCTTTTCTTGCTATCTTGTATCTACATTCTTCTTCGTAGTTATTCCGCAGGTTCCTATGATATTTCCTTCTCTTCCAACATCAATGCAATATTTTCAACGATCAAACTTTTATATATATACGGATAGCGTAATTTTCTTTTTTACTCTCTCCGTTTCAATTTATGTGAAACTTTTTGACTGGGCACGGAGTTTAAGAAAAAATGAAGACTTTTATAATTTGTGGTCCTAAACAAGTCAAAAAGGGGTTCAGAGTATTTGTATGGTTATAAAAGCTTCTCATTTAGGGTAAAAATGGAATTTTAAGTTAAATTGTTTCCAAATTTTGAAAGGAGTTATTCTTTTTAGACGAACAACCAAAAAGGAAATATGTTCACGTAAACTAGAATGGATGAAGTATATTATTACTAGCAGTACGGTTTATTTACTCTATTTCTAGGCTATAATACCCTGTTAACTTGCTTGGAGTTCTATTTTTACAAGTTTTCAACAATTCCATTACCTTGTGATTTCCTTGCAGTTGAAGCAGCAGTAGGAGTTTGTTATGGCCGTGTTGGTACAAACCTCCCACCACCTTCAGAAGCCATCAATCTCATTAAATCAATTGGCGTTTCGAGAATTAGGCTATTCAATCCAGATCCAGAAGCATTGCAACCATTTGCCGGCACTGGAATAGAGCTCTTGGTTGGAGTTCCCAATGAAATCCTCCCTACCCTAGCCAATAGTCCTGTGACCATCTCCATGGAATGGCTTCAAACCAATATTTTTGCCCATGTTTCCCCTAATCAAGTTAAATATTTAGCCGTTGGCAATGAAATCTTCCTTAAAGATCCATTTTACTCTCCTTATATAGTTCCTGCTATTTCAAACCTTTACCAAGCTATTCAAACATTAGGTCTAGCTACCTCAATTAAGCTTTCTTCTTCCCATGCATCTACCATACTTTCCAATTCATACCCTCCATCATCTGGAGTTTTTAATTCTACCATCAGACCATTTCTTCTTCCTTTTTTACAATTTTTACGTGACACCAGCTCACCATTAATGGTGAATGTGTACCCTTTTTTCGCCTATATAAATAATCCACAGTATGTTTCTTTGGACCATGCTCTATTTAGGTCATCATATGTAGAATACGACCAGAACTTGGCTTATGACAACATGTTCGATGCTTCCATTGATGCATTTGTGTATGCCATGGAGAAGGAAGGGTTTGAGGGAATTCCTGTGATGGTAACAGAGACCGGTTGGCCGACTGCTGGAATTGACGGTGCGAGCATTGACAATGCCTTGTCTTACAATGGGAATGTTGTGAGAAGAGCTTTGAACAATGTAGGTACGCCTAAGAGGCCTGGAGTTGGCCTGGATGTTTTCTTGTTTGATTTGTTTGATGAGAATGGAAAGAGTGGAGAGGAGTTTGAGAGGCATTTTGGGATTTTTGGAGATAATGGAATTAAGGCCTATGACATTAGGTTCAACTAAAGTTCAGTCGTTCTATAGGTCTAGGTATATTATTATTTTTGAGGTGTGGTTGTCGCATTCTAAATTAGTTAATCATGTGTGAACCAAAAATTCAGAGATGGCGGATCTCACACTATTTGGAACATAGCCATATTGTCATTTACATGGTCCAAATAGTTTTGGTTCTTGTTATTCGGCTTTTCAGATTGAATATATAAATTGATTAACTGAAAAGAATTAATTACTAACTATGACAATCTAGAGCAGAGTACAAACCTTTAGTAATGGTATTACTTTTATTTACAAATTTTTTTTATGTACTCTCTTCCAAAGTTATTTGGATCAAAGTTAATAACTATGACATTCTTGAAAAGAAAAGAGAAGACTAACCAATTTAGTGACCTTAGGAATTGAAACATGTTTGATTTTATCTAGACAAATTATAAAAAATGCAAATACATTGGGCACATTTACATCAATTCATTGACTATTTCTCCTCCTTTTTTCCCTTCAATTAGATGATCAACCACCAAGAAATATAGGAAAAATTAGAAAAGAAACTAAACAATAACAAAATATGCAGCTATTAAAACTCGGAAAAAGGGAAGGTATGAGAGGCAGAAGGTTCTTAGGTTTGAGTTCGACTTTTTCAAACTTTGGTTGTTATTTGATTAAACGAATTGATTTCTTTTGAATTTTTAATTTTGATTAAAAATATTTCTATTAGAGCGAAGGTTTCAATGTGTCTGTTTGGTGTCATCAAATGTCTAATCAAAGTTATACTTGTCATTTGGTTGCGCCATCTGACATCTGCTGCTTCTCTCCTCCTTTTGTTCTCTATCCCATGTTCGTTACTTGCCTAGTGTTAGCCCCTAATGTTGAGACATGACAGATGTCGGGCAGAATCTATGTCAAGGATTTGTACGTTGCTTCTTGGCATAGATTTGTGCGCATGTTGGCAAGCAATGTGCGGAGCTAAAGGCGTGTCTAAGTTAGTGCATGGACATAAGCAAGTCAATTAGGCAAGGTCTTAAGTGTTGGCAAAGCAACTTGATTGTGGGAAATGGCTATGGCAAATGAAGGCGCATGGCATTTGACTAAGGCATGCGTGCGGATCAGTGGGACGACAAGGTTTGTGACAAGACATAGTCATCAGCTTTTGGGCGAGGCATGGTCCAAAGACGAGACAAGACAGGAAGGCAAAGTGTGGACAAAAGCTGTAGAACAAGTGTGCAAGCCATGCGATTATGAAGTAGTGCTCTGTGGAAGTTAGCCATGTGCAAGACACATGTTGCAGTTGGCCAAAATTCTGAAGATGGATTAAAATTCGTGAGAAGGTTTGAATTCAAATTAGGATAAGAAAGTTATGCTTGTTTTTAGGCTGGTCATATGCAAGGCACATTGTATAACTGCCCCGTAACTGCCCCTTTGTAAATCTGCCATAGACACCCCCTTTTATATGTGTATTCCGTTGGTATTAAGGCAAGTAGCATATGTGAGCTTTTCCAACTGAGTGTCCTGTGTATATTATGCGAGAATTAATAAAAGTTGGGTTTTTACCCGTATTACTGTGTGTTGCTACGTTTTGCTAAGTCTGAAATAATATAAGTCCTAAACTATGTGCGAAAAAAGTAAGGCTGAGTGGCTGAAGAGTTTGGCTACTGCCGTGCAGTGTCAATTGTGCTAAAATTGGCCAGGTAACACCTAGCACCATGAGACCCTCGTCGTCTTCCTCGCCTAAGACCATTGAAGGTCGACATTGAGGGAGAACCAACCTCTATCATAACCTTCAACGCATATTCAGTTTCTTCAGAAGAAAACACAACAAATAAGATTATCATGCCCTAAGATAGGTCGAGACGTGTGATTGGTGCCTGCTACCTGCCACCTGGGTTGAGCCAAACTATATGGCATACTACATATCTAATTTGCGACCATCTGTCTTGATGTTTTATACTCCATCCATTTCAATTTAAATGAAGTAGTTTGACCCGATACAGAGTTTAAGAAAAAAAAGACTTTTGAAACTTGTGGCCTTAAAAAGCTTGAGGGGTAAAAACTTTGTGGGGCCATGACATTTAAGTGATTATAAAAGCTTCTCATTAAAGGTAAAATAGGTAAAATGAAGAGTTTAAAGTTGAATTATTTCGAAATTTAGAAATGTGTCATTCATTTAGAACAGACTAAAAAGGAAAGTACTTCATCTAATATGAAACTGAGGGAGTACTTCAATACCACACAAGAAGGGGAGTATATGGTGCCCAATTTTTTGCGTGCACAGATTATAGAAGGACCTGGTTCTTCTACGTGTTTCTTACACTACATTTACGAAATAATAAATGCAGAAAGTAAACAACACAAGATTTTTTACGTGGAAAACACCCGGCTTAAAATGTGAATAAACCACGACCTACTACCCAATAGGGGTTTTTTCCAAATACTTCACTACAACTCTGATCCAACAACAAAGTTTACAAACTCTTGCAAATCTAAGGATTAACTCTAACCCTTATAGAAACACGCCACAGGTTATTGCGACCACTTCAAATTAACTCTAACTTGAAAGATACAACTCGAGTTTACAACCTCTTGCAAACCTAAGGATTAACTCTAACCCTTGTAGCAACGCGCCACAGGCTGTTGCGATTACTTCAAGTTAACTTTAAGTTGAATGATATAACTCAGGTACCTAGTACAGTTTGCTTCTAAGAAAGCTGAAAGGTACAAATCAAAATGCTTGCTACACTTTGAACTAGAAATAAAGAAAGACACATAAAACTCTTTATGGAATTGCTTCTTCAATCTGGTTTGTGTAGCTTCAGGATCACACTCTTAAAACTCATAGGAATTGCTCACAAAATGCCTTACTATTTTGCTCTCAATTCTTGCTTAACTTCTGTATGTGTGTAATAGAGAACACAACTGATATATATAGAATTAGTAAATAAAGATTAACTAGAGTTCTAATACTTTACTCTTCCTTGGTGGAAGAGTTCTAGTCAACTTCAACTTCTTCTAACTATTCTCTTATCTTGGATATAGTTCTCTTCAAATAAGGAGTCTTGCTCCTTATCAAATATGAAACATTTTCGTTCGGGGATGATCGGAGATAACTACTTATACTTATTCCTTTCACGTGAATGTCTTTTGCTTGATTCTGTCTGTCACATGTTTACACTATCCATAGACCTGATTCATGCATGTGTTCCTTTGTTAATCATCAAAATCAAAACTACGTAGGTCAACAAATTTTTCCTTTTTAATGATGACAAACTCTGTGCTTTTTATAAGTATGGAACCTGTTTCAACTTTGTTCAACATCAAAGACAATGTTATAGCACTTTTCTCCTTTTGGCATTATCTAAAAGTTACATAATTAAGTTAAGTAACCAGATTTTAGCAGATATCACTATGGCCACTGGGTCTACTTCAAATGCAATTATGGATTCAATTTTTTATTTATCAATCTAAGAATATTAGTCATCTAAGAAATATCAGCAAACAATTAGAGCGAAGGCAGTGAATATTATTGATAAGATTCTTCCACAAGACATAAAAAGAAATAAAAGCACTGAACCATAAGCAAAAATAAAAAATATCCCACTTGGGTTACTAGTTACAAACTTAGCTATGGAAGGATTTAGGACTAGGAATAACTAGGTTCTTGGCTTGAAGCAGCTTTAGCGTATCTTGAAGAATACCATCATTCTTCTTCTTTTACTTAGCAAGCTCACACTTGAAAGAGTCTTTCTCAACTTCTACTTCAGCCAAACATTAATTCAGCCTTTCAATCTCAACATTCTTAGCCATTTTCTTCCACTATTTGAGCCTCCTTGCTCTTTTTGGCACACCTAGTTCTTTTAGACACAATTGAGCCCTCAGCCTTTGTCTCTGTTTCTTGAGAATTCTTTTAAGAAGTCTTTCTATTTTTGGCACTAGACTATCCTCATATTCATCTTCAAGAACTAGGTTTATCTCCTCAATCTAGACTAGTCCACTTGGCTTACCAGCCTTCTTTTTCAAGCGACTTTCTTGGCATTCCCAGCTAAAGCCCTTTTTACATTGGTCTAACTCTGCTTCTTCTAGCTCCTTGTAGTTATTCCTATTGTGGGAGGAGTTTCTACAAGGATAGAAGGAGCACCCTTTCTCTTAGTGCCACCCATGCCCTTTTCCTGTAGTCTTTCTAACTTTGCTCTTTTTCATTTGATTTTAACTATTTGACACCTTCTGCAGCAAATAGGGACTCGTGTCTATTTTAGCAAGAGAAGGAACTGGTTCCTGAAACTATTTCCTTAACCTAATCAGCAGATCTGCAGCACTTCTATCACCAGAACCATCCCCTATCTCCTGTGATTCTATCCCCATACTTTCATTCATAGTCTCCTCATTATCACTAATCTTTTCACTTATTACAATCATTGCTCCAACTTCCTCAGTCAAACCAACAAGAGTGGGTGAAGGGGATCTATCCACTCTTTCTTCTCCATTTTTCCTCATATCTACTTTAACACCCTTGATCTTTTTTGTTTTTATTTTTCATTTTTACCACTAATGTATTCAATAACAACATTTCCCTTTTCAATACCAGCTATAGACCCAACCAAAACACACCGATTCTCAAGATTTTCTGCAATTTCAGAACCAAACTCAGAGGTGAGAAACTTAGAGGTTACATGTTCAGTTTCAGAAGAAACTGGTTCTTCCCCCTCAGTCGTAGACCAGATCATCAAAATTTTGTGGTTCTTCTGCTTGAATGGCTTGTAGCTTCTCATTTAATTTCTTGGATTGTTCTTTACTTGCTAGTATTTTTCATGAAATCATTATAATATATTTTTTCTTGGGGGTTTGGGTAGTTAAAAGTGTGGGTGAAGGTTCTTTGGGTGGTGAGGAAGGGTTTTCATAGTTTTTGGGATTTTCATGGGTGCTGCCATTTTGATCAGTTCGGAAACTTGAGATAAATGAAGATGGTTTTGAGATTTGGGAGATTTTTATCTTTCAAAAACAAATTGAGATAGGAGGGT